TGGTCGACCCACCCGGCCCACTAAGGAGGGCCCTTTTTGGGACCATGACAATTGTTCTCATTTGCCACTTTCAACAGGTTCTTGATATGAAATGACTCTTTTGCCATCCTCCATCTTTTTAGTCCTCTGGTTCCCTCCTTTCTTTGTTTGCTTTGGTTATGGACTAGGTTGGGACAAAGGTAGGAAGATGAGGAGGAGAACAGGGGAAAGAGAAAAGGAGATCAACCACTCTTCCACTATGGGTTGTCACCTTGGCCATGGCCTTTGTAGGACAACTCTCCCCACTCTTCCTCTCTGATCTTTCCTCTCCCCTTAACAAGATTCGCCACTAAGTTCTAGTGCTCCAAATATGGATTGTTTGGTAGTTGGGAGGGGGGTCAGGCTAGGCAACATAGGGTGGAGGGGACAAATTGCAACTTACAAATGAAGAAGCACAACTCACCCATTGTAGCCATTTCGATATGACCACTAGCATCGAAGAAGAATCACTGGGACTTTGGGGGAAGACTGGGCTACTCCAAGCTCGTCTTTGCAACAGGTGGAATTTAGAGACTACTTACCATTTGCTTTCATGTTTGTTCAGCCGGTGGTCATTGGTGGCCATGGTTTAGGGATGACAACGGGTCAGGTCTAGTGCAGGTGGACTAAAAACCCGCCATTAACGACGTCCGCCCTCAATGAGACCCAAGGGTGCAATGTCACACCCGTACTTGCACACACACCCAACCCAATTAGAGGAGAAAAATAGAAAAACATACATTTTGGTCCCCATGGATGAAATATGACACCCGCAACCAACCCGACACCATCGTGGACCCCGACCCCAAGACATCCGCGGGTCCAATGTTGCCCCGCACCTGGGGTGTGATTGTCATCCCTACTTGTAGCTCCATGTACACTGCACCATCATGAAGAAATGAGGAAGGAAAACTCATTGGAGTGGATGACGTTTTAGAGTGTGTCGTTCGCTAAGGTGGTAAAATGTTGAATTTTGTGCATTTACCATATGTGTTGTGTGACTAGTATGTGTGCATACATGGCCTTTGCCTTGAAAACCAACTAGTCATCATAATTCTACCCCCATGTTGCGCGGATACTTCTAGAGGTGCAGTATCCATATCAGATACGTATCGGATACCGATACTCCTTGGATACACGTCGGATACTTCTCAAAGATTAGGCGTCCAAATAACTTCTTTTATGAAAGTATTCTTGGATTTTCATTTTTTTTACTTTCTGAATCAAGTAATGTGTTATATAAATTGCTTGAAATTGGTAAGTTTTAAGTTAAAACTTGCTAGATAACTACTTTTAGCTTGTAATTCATATATAATAACTATTATAATAAAATATATTAGACGTATCCCCATGTCAGTGTTTGTTTTATAAGTCCGTGTCAGTGTTTTTGAGGAATGACGTATCCATGTGTCCGATACGTATCGTATTCGATACTCAGTATCTGTATCTAGGCAACATAGATTCCACCTATGGATGGCCCTGTTCGCTGAAAAGACAAGCTGGAAAGTACTGTTCGCCGATTTGTTGTGAGAGAAAAACATTGTTCCTTCAATGAAAAAGAGCCCATATGGCCGTGGCAATAGGAATTAAAGTAAGTCTGTGTTTGTGGTGTGTGGGGGTGGACAATAACTATATACTGAACATGACCATTGTTATATTATGATGGGTGGTAAGTTGATTTTGCATTGATTAAATTGCATTTCATTAGTAGAAGTAGACAAGGAAGAAGAAATAAAGGGGAAGGTGTATTGGAGTTAAAGCCGGCGCAATTGAGAGAGGACTCTACTACATATATTTCAGATCAAAAGGAGTACACTTGAAGGAGATATTCCAAATATAGAGAGATATTAGATATAGATATTTAAAGAATCTAGGGAAAGGAAAAAGGGGAGAGAGAGGACAAGATCAGAAGCAACGGAAACCGGCCGTGTAGACAAGATTGTTGTTAGCTAGCTAGCATATATACTCCTATATACTGTATATATGTAGTAGGGTAGGGATGCTATGATAGTATTATTGTATTGTGAATCTGAATGAATGAAGATGGAGATGGAGACGAAGGATGGATCGTCGGGAGTAGCAGTAAAGCAAAAGAGAAAGCGTAAAGAAGGAAGCAGGCACTAGGCAGGGGAAAAAGGAAAAGGGGACAGCGGCAGGAGGAGGAGCAGCAGCTGAGCGAGCCGGCCTGCCTGTACGTGTCTTTCTCTAGCAGCTAGGAGTGCGTGTGCGCGCGTGTGTGTCCGGCTCAGCTGCCTGTCTGTCTATAGCGTCCATCGATCCTAGCAGCTCTGCTCAGTCATCTGTCAGGCAGTGTCTCTCTCACTCTCTCCTCTTTTGCCTGCTCTGCTGTCCAGTGCCCACTCGTACGTCGTAGGCTCGTAGTCGTAGCACAGCACAGTTTCCTTGTGCTTCCTGCTGCCTGCTTCTGCCTGTGGCTTCTCTTCATCAGGATTCAGGATTCAGGATTCATTCTATTCTATTCTATTCTATCTATTCTTCATCAGGGCCATCTTCTTCCTTCCCTCCATTCCATTTCCATTTCCTCTATTCATCAGGAAGAACAAGGAGAAGAAGACAAAGTGACAGAGTAGTCAAGTGTGACAGAGTGAGAGCAGCAGATTGTGTTTGCCAAATCGGAGGATTTTATGATATGATGGAGGCTTGGCAGCAGCAGCACATGGATCCTTCCGCTTCCGTTTCCGTGTGCCGCCTCCACCCGGGCGTCGCCGTCACCGGCTTCTGCCCAGCCTGCCTCCGCGACCGCCTCGCCGGCCTCCACCCTCCCTCCGCCGCCGACCTACGCCGCTGCAAGTCCTTCTCCTACGCGCGCTCTGCAGCCGCGGTGGAGCCGCAGCGCCGCTCCTGCGATCTCTTCCGCCACGGTCAGCCCATCGCGGCGGCGGTGCAGGAGGAGGAGGAGGAGGAGGACCATCACCAGCAGGAGCCCGGCCGCTCACACAGTCACCAACAACCCAAGAAGTCGTCGTCCTTGGGCGGCCTCCTGGGCAAGAAGCTGCAGCAATGGCGCCGCAAGAGCAAGAAGGAGCCTGTGGCCGTGGTCATTCCCGTGCCGCTGCCGGAGATGGAGATGCCCGCCCGGCACCGTCCCTCCTGCGACGCGGACCCCCGCCGAGCTTCGTGGGACGCCCGGTCGGGACCCGTGCCGGCGCTCGGCCGCCTGCCGGCCTCCATGCTGTCCTTGCCCGTGGAGGAGGACGAGGACTACGACGACAGCATGGCACCGCCGGCGGTCCCACGCTCCGACGGGCAAATCCCCGTGGAGGAAGACTACTGCTACTACTACGACAATGCTGCTGCCGTGGCAGCGGTGCCCGGCGGCTCCGTGCAGACGAGGGACTACTACCTGGACTCGTCCAGCTCCAGCAGGAGGCGCCGAAGCGTGGACCGCTCCACCACCTCTGGGCGCAACTCCTTCTCCGACGCCAACAACAGCGAGGCGACGTGCAGGATGATGATGATGAATGGCGCCACAGCCAATGGCAATGCCAGGGTGTCACCGGCGGGTATCGCTGCAGAGAGGCTGTACCACTACCATGAGGCCCACCACCACCATCATCAGAGCGTGCTTGTCCATCATCAGTACTGCAGCAGGGAAGACGAGGCGGAGCTGCAGCAGCAGGGGCCCAACAATCTCCGCGCCGACGACTTCTCCGGGAGCTTCGGGTCGGCGTTCCCGTTCCGGGATGGCGTGCCAGCAAGCAAGCCTGACAAGAAGGGGATCAAGGGGTGGAGCATCTGGGGCCTCATAAGCAAGAAGAGCAGCAGCAGCAGCAGGAAGTACTCTGCAGAGGCAGCGGCAGCAGCTGGGGGAGCAGCGGCAGCAGCAGGAGGAGGAGGAGGAGAGTACGAGTACCCATGGCCGGAGCTCCGGGCAAGGGGGTACAACGGGCAGATGCTCCGGTGCAACAGCAGCATAAGCGCGAGAAGCTCCTTCAGTGGCACTGGGACTGGGAGCGGGAATTTGAGTGGGAGGAGGAGCATCTCTGGTCTGGACATGCGTGATGCCGCCGCCAGGTATAACAATAACAATAACAATGGCGGCTTCAGGACGAGGAACCTGAGCACGACGAGGTCGTCTTCTTACTCGAGATCAGGGCATCATGACCTCGATCCGGCAATAGCGCCGCAGATGGGAGTGGGAATGGGAATGCAATACCACAACCAGCAGCAGTTGGGCAGCGGCCGGCAGCCCAACATCCCCAGGCGCTCCTCTTCCAATTCCAAACATGAATTCAGCTCGTTGCCTGCTAAGGCCAAGTCTAGGAGGAGCACGCTTGGACTCTAGCTGCTGCTGCTGCTCTGCTGATGGATCCATCCATCAAATTCAATGTGAATAGCAGCCAGCCGCCCAGCCAGGCCCGTAGCATTCATTCCTTCCTTTCCTTCAGCATCACTCCTCATGGATCGTCCAAAATACGTAGTTTCTTCTGGCTGACAAGGTGGGCCATAGCTAGTGGTGAACTGAACTGCTAGTCCTTGTGTTGGGTCATACTGTACTGTACTGTACTCTCTAGCTGTTAGCCTGTTACATACACACTCTACAACAGGGTGGGGACTATAAACGACTTATTAGCACTACTAGCAACTTATTTATCACAGGCCTTTCTTTCTCCAAGATTAGCATCATTTGTTCTTGTCTATTGAATTCGAGCACGGTGTCAGGCCAGGATCATTCAGGGACATATATATAGATGCAGCAAATGGTAGGGGAAAACAACCAACATTGTTCCAAGTCCCAACTAAACACTCTCGTCCTATTTGCATTGGGTGTACAGTAATTTGTTTTCGACTTGCCAGTAATCCCAATCCTGTTTTACAATCACGCAGGACCTGAAGCAAACACTTGGCCTCCATGTCATGTGTGAAACTGAACCACCTGTTTCTTCACATTACAGCTGCAATCGAAGCTGACACACCCTCAAACCCAACAAGAAAGGGGCCACTTCTGTCACTGGGATTGATCAGCCAAGCCCAGCAGATTCATCCACAACCGCCTCTTCTCCGGCCTGCAGGCTCTTTCCACCACGTCCTACAGCCTCCCCAGGGAAATGGAATGCAGCCTTTCTTCCAGCTTCCCTTTCAATGCCGGGACTTGCTGCATCCAACCAAACACACAATAGTTTCCCAGTCAAAACTAAACTAAACCCTTCACATGAGAACAAAAGAATCTATCCTAGCAAACGCGCAGCACTAAGCAAGCAAACTGGGTAAAAAGGGGTGGTGGTTGCCTTTGATATCCAGAGGATGTAGAGTGCTGAAAGCTCTGCTTGGACACGTGACTCATCAAACTCATCCTCAGGGTCATTCAGGCACTCTGACAGCAGGTATATCTCCTGGCTCACAAATAGATCCACCTGGGACATCGTTGAGGGGCAGGTTTCTTCAACGGTGAGCAAGCGCTGTATCCACCACTGCGAAAGGAACCGGCGATGGTTCCACAACGACTGCACCAATACATCACCACCGCAGCTAGCATAAGCAAACACGCACTCCACCAACCAGAATCACAAGTGAGAAGAACAGCAGCAGGCTATTTTTCAAACCTCTCTCCCTTGGTAGCGTCTAATCAGCATCTCATCCCACCTCAGCTCCTCCTGTCAGATCATATACACTTTAATTTTACTTCGCACCAAGATGGGTGGGTATCAACTAACCATAGGATAAAGGAAACCAGTGTTGTAAAACACAATGATTCATGGATCCTTTGTCTTCTGCTTTGTATCACATTCATAATGGAAAGAGAGGATATGATGCCTGAAGTGATTACAAATAACTGTAGCAAAAAGGTAATTAGCTTTTGATCGAATACATCATACCTTCCATAGTAGGTAAGTTTCTGACTCCCAACTAAGGGAATCCTCTCCATTCCCCAGGCGACTTTCTAGTAGCGTAAGAAGAAGGGACTGCAAGGATGCAACAAGAAGGCTGGTAAATACACATGCTGTCAGTCAGACTGGTTGGCAAACAGGATGTGTGCTATGCCATATTGCCATTGGAATGTGTCAACAAATGGAAGTCCAAAACAACATAAAGTCTAAATCGTGGTGTGCATTGAAAAGCTCTGGTCTGCAAACATATTGTACAGGCTCTAACAAGATGTTACAGTTACACGTCGATATGAAAAATCATCAAGTCAAAAAAAAAATCTGCTTCAAGGAATTATGTAGTACCAACTGTAAACATAAGGAAGCTACTAACCCTTCGGTAGTGAAAGCAGCAATTGTCAGCAACATGTAGCTCACTCCATTTTGTTGACTTCTTCAGTTCATCCAGCACCTTCAGGAAACAGAAATCAAATGTTGTGCACGGTAACTAACGAGCAGATATTCTGTAGCTAGGAAGTCCAGTTACAAGATTAAGAATCAGGGACAAGGAATTTTCAATGAGTCTGAATCATTTATCTCCACCTGTTTCCGTGTCATGTAAGGAATAAGCCAGCATCGATGCCTCCACGCACGGTAGTTCATTTTCGATTTCTGAAAAAGGCGTAAAATTATTTTTATGCATATTGTATGGACCTTCTTGTATTGGAGAAATTTAATTACCAGCTACGTCAAAAACAACAGGGAACGAATGATATAATATGATGAGCTCAGTCAAGTCGACATTGTTAGCAGCTTGAATAAGCAAGTATTCGTGAATTATAACCTCTGCTATTTCTTTGACTAGTATTGATTCATTCTCTATAATCTCCGACATATCTTGATGTTGCTCTGCAACTTGTTTTATCACCCACCTCCTGTGGCAGACAGTTAACTTTAAACTCCATGCTGTTTTATTTTATTATAGAAATCAGCTCCAAATAGATAGGCATTGTCTGAAAGGATTAGTTCCATGGGCAAGCTGGGGTGACAAGAGCAGGACCGATTGTACCTATGGCTCCATGTGCTCTCGTTCTTTGGCGAGTAGGAAAGGATCAAGGCACACAATTGCAGCTCATCCTTGAGCTTTGTGAAATCATACTCTGCTGATAGCACCATATTCCTGCAGGAAAGGAGACCTTATCACTCGGTAATAAAAACTATTTGGAGTCGGAATTCCTTCCGTCCGGTGCATGGAGCTTGCAGTACCCATCAATTGACATGCAAGGTGAATCCTTTGGTTAGGCATACAGTGAGTAACAGCTGACAGCATGGGCGTACCTGGAGTTCCATGCAGTAAGTAGGTCAGGACAAAGTATGAGTAGTGCCTTGGTGTGCCTCATGAGATGAGTAGGGGATAGCGGGGCATCTCTTGCGTTGCAGTAGGCATCCCGGGCAGCGCGATAGAGCCTGGGCAGGATCTCGGCGGAGATGGCGAGCTTGTGGTCTCTGCACCACAAGTACCTTGTGTGGTGAGGCTCCGAATGTTGGGAATTGGAATCGTCATCTTCTAGTGAGCAGAATTGTGTTGGGTGCAAGAACCCCACCTCATCACTGCGAATGGAACGGAATGGAATTATTAACTTCGGGTTCTCATACAAGTATCGATCTAGTATCATACTCTGGTTTGAGAACTGGAATCAAGAAACGGACAAAGAAAAGTGGCTAGGAAAGAAGCAAACATGAGGGGGTCGTCGTGGAGGATTCGCTGGAAGCGGTGGAGCAGATCTTGGGCGAGCTGTTCCTCCCCTCCTTCCTGGTGCTCCCCTGCTGATTCTTGTTCTTGTTGTAGTTCCATTGGATCTATGACTTGTCTCTGTTTGTTCTGCAGATAATTTGGATCAGAGCGGGCAGTGACGGGGCAGCGTCAAGTTGGGCAGGAAGCAGCGCCAGCCATGGCGGCCGCGGCGGCGGCTCCTCTGAATCCGATTCCGACGGACCCAAATCTAAGCGAGGAGAAACAGGAACAGTGACTGACATAACGGCGGGGCAAAAACGTCATATCATACTACATTGATCGCTTTGCAGTTGCGGCAGCTGACTGTGGGCCCACCCTTCTCCTCCTTGTCGGGGGAATTTTGTTTGCCATTAAAAAAAGATCGCAATGTTCTGTGTGTTCCTGAAAAAGTTCACGTCATCAATGCCACTACTTCAACTTTTTCGTGCCCTCCATGCAGGGATGAAAACGGTACGGATATTTTTCGACCGTATTCGTTTAGAGGGGTTCAGATCTATCCGTATCCAAGTCCGGATATTCAATATCCGATACTATATCCATATCCGAATATTTAAATCGCATATTTATGATGTCGATATCTAATCGTATCATATCCGGCATGGTTGACACTATCCGTATTCGAATTCAAATCCGGACAGAAATATAAAAACAAATATAATATCAGTGTTATCCGTCCGTATCCAATCCATTTTCATCCCTATCTCCATGCCACTGTTATACCTAGGAAGTTTGCTTTGGACATGGATGTTAGGTGGAACTCTACATACCTGATGCTTAGGCATTTGCTACCACACAAGGAAATTTTTCATACTTTCATTGAGTCTAATTATCCTAGACCTAAAGGTGGCCCCTTTCTTTTGACTCATGATCATTAGGCTATAGCAACTAAAATATCGGAATTCCTTGAACTGCTTTTATGACTCATCTTGCTTTATCCGTGTGTACTATCCTCTCGCCCACTTATGGTTCATCATATTGTTAAGATTGCTATACACACGCATAAGTATCAAAATGATGAACATATTAGAACTATTGTTCAACCTATGATTGATAAGTACAATAAGTATTGGAGAACCATACCGATCTTTTATCAGCATTGCATTTATCTTGGATCCAAGAGCTAAAATTAAAGGTTTTAACAAAGTGCTTAAGAAGTTAAATGTGCTTATCGATCTCGATTATTCTAATAAGTCGATGCAAACTAGAACTCTACTTTTCAAGTCATCATAAGTATGATGATTTGTATGGCTCTGTAAGGGCTAAAAGGCCGATCCTCCAAGCCTATCTCGGTAAGAAAAGAAACGACTTGGCTTTGAAAATATATGATGATGATGATGATGATGATGGTGCATATATTCTTCTCTTCTCCTAATCTTGAAGGAGTATGCCTTCTTTACATGCAAACAAGTTCTTCTAGCGTAGTTCTGAATTGTGACACGGAGAAAAATGACTTCAACATCCCGAATCGGTGGCATCGTCATAAGCTAACATATCAGATTCTTTCTACCTTGCTAAAGATGTTTTTCGATTATGTTGTTTCTACCATTTCCTCGAAGCTACTTTCGATTACCCTCATTTCATTGAAGAAAGGCGGAGGCTAAACCTCGAGGATCTGTGGAGGCACTCACATGCATCAAGGACTCAAGCTCAAAGGCTACAACATATGGTGGAGGATAAGGAGCTCGAGGAGGCCTTTGAAAACCTTTATCTTGATTAGTCATTCATTTATGTAATGGTCTCAATCTTAAAGACTTGGACTTGGATGCTTTGGACCATGGATTGGATTTAATGAACAATTGATTAAACTAAGGGGTTGGTTGCACTCTTTTTCCCTGTCTAGGGTTTCTCACAAGGGTGAGTTTTACACAGACGATTTTTTAATGAGACCCCATTGCACGCCTCCTTTTATTTCATATTCTGTTCTTCTTGTGTTCTCTTTTTCTTTTGCTTTCTTCAAATTTGAATTTGATCATTGAATTGTGATTTTGTGAACATTTTAAGTGTTATTGAGGTTTTAAATGCCCGTGCCTCCCTTTCCGCTCCTGCTCTTGCTCCTCCCTCGGACCCCATTTTTAGGGTGGCTCCTGTCCCAGCCAAGGCCGTGCCTAATAAGTGCCGTGCACGATAGGTGCCGTAGTGTCCGGGCAAAACTTTAGGAAGAAGGGATAGGCAAACTGCTGACTGCAAGCAAAGGGGAGCCATGGCGGCTTCTGATGACCATGACCTGAAGGCGTTGCTGCAGGTAAGGGTGAGCGATGAGGATGGCGCGCTGGTGGACGCGCTGAACCGACGAGCTGCTGTTGCTGCCGCTGCCACCGCCGCGCGGGGGGAGCCCAGCCCCAGCTTCTTCGAGGGGTTCGCGCTGCAGGGGATCCGCGTGGAGAGCATCCGCCCGGGCCACATCCTCTGCTCCTTCACGGTCCCCGCACGCCTCACCGCCGGCGACAATCACATAGCCCCCGGCGCCGTGGTGGCCCTGGTGGACGACATCGGCTCCGCCGCCTCCGTGTCCGACGGCCACCACCTCAAGGTCTCCGTCGACATGTCCGTCAACTTCGTCGACCTCGCCGCCGCGTCGGCCGGGGACGCCCTCCGCATCACCGCCAGGGCGCTCGGCCACAAGGGCGCCTACTCCGGCACGCACGTCCTCGTCGCCAACGCCGCCACGGGGCAGGTCGTCGCCGAGGGGAGGCACTCGCTCTTCGGCGAGATGAAGATCAGGAGCAACATCTGAATTGGAGTACTGCTTCCTTCTCCAAATCACGAGTGCACACTGCACAGTGCTGTGTTTGTTGTTGTATGCTCTGCTTCTCCTTGTGCGTAGCACCATAGCAGCAGCTGCTTGCTTCTTCAGTAAAAACAGCTGCATTATGCTTATTTGTCTAAGTACAATAATAAAGACAAGCAGCATCTGCTTACACACGATCAATGAATCCACTATCATTCATTCTCATGGTATCACATAACAATCAAGCACTGCAGAGTGCAGACCATTTGTCACCTGGATTACCCTTCACACACATTGATCGTCATACCGATCAAAGCATTTCAGTACAAGTACGGAAAAACGAAACATTAAATCGATTCGAAACATGCAACAGATGCTCATCATTAACAGGCCCCCCATTGAACTACAGCAGTTCAAGTTCCAACATTCACCACATATTGTTTACTCACATCTGTTTGCTAGTTGTGAATTTATTCATTCAGGGATCATGCAACTGCCCGCTGTGATTTATTCTCGCAATTGAAGTGTCAGATTTGTCCTTGTTCCCCAATTCTTCAGGGGAAGGTGTGAATTTTTTTCCCTTTTGTCTATAGAAGAAAAACTGTGCGTCATTGTACGCCACCTGACTGCAAAACCTCTATCTTCAGCTTGCCGGTTTCCTCACAAAAAGCTTTTGAACCTGACAAGATCAACAAACAATGTGTTAATATTGGATTTAACAAGCTCAAATACTTCCACTCTGCTGAATATCTGGTGGAGAGAGAGAAAGCAGGGGGGTTCATTTTCATTTACCTGCTCTAATGTCAAGAACATAATCACATTCCAAGATCCCAGTCTTGCAAAGTTTGGCAGGAAGCCTTTGTAAAATGCCAAAGGGCCCTGCAGAGTAAACCACTTAATCATTAGCTAATGCCTACCTCCTGGAATTCATTGTACACTAACCAGGTACAATAGAGTAGCTCTATATCATAAACAGATTTTTCAGTTCCCGGTCAATACAACTAAATTGACAAATCAAAGTTCAAATATGCTGCAGCAACTCTGGAAGGTACAACAATAATGGTGCAAAAGGAAGAAAATTTCAGTATATTCTGAAGAACAAATTTACCCAGACCAGAGATTAGTTGCACCATGCTAGGGCACAAAAGGCAACTCCTATGTGCTGTCAAGAAACAAAATGGACACTACATGATGGAATAAGACAGTGCACTACTCAACACACTTTGAGTACGGAGACAAATTCTTGTTCAATCAGGTCAAATTCTCTAAAAAGGAAAAACTGCCTAAGACAGGTCTGGGAAGGAAAAAAAAACGGCTGCTAGAATGTCAAATATTGAGGAAATGCCACATGGTTGTCACCATGATACAGTGAATACTATTATAAGGTCAAATAAACTCCAAGAGAGGCTACTGGTGATGTATGCATTACATGCTATATGGTTTTTTATGGGATTACACCTTATATTCTTACTGCAACTATCAGATGTGTTCAGTGGAAGGTCCTATCTGTATATTTTCTGCTCATCTAAATTTTAACCCAGAATCATAACATGAGTAGCAGTGTGGAACTTTGACATACATCATTCTTAAGTGTCTTCACAAAACAATCGAGAGTGCTTTTGTAGGCTGAGTCACCCATCATTCTTGACTTAACCTGCAAGAAGGTAACTGTTTATCAGTCTCAGTTGCACTTGAGGAAGGTAGAAACTTCATCTACAGGCAGAGACTGAAGCCATTGTTTCAGAGTCCAGTAATTTTTCAATAACATAGAATACAACAAAGTACTAGATAACTTCCAGAGAAGTAACCAGCATCCATTGCCACAAGTTAGAATCCGCGCATGAAAAACAGAGTTACATTGTAACTTCGTAAGAGTGGACCTCACAAAAAGAGGAAAGAGGGAAAACAATAGCTATGGTGGAAGACTACGATCGATCTCAAATTCTGAACCTGTGGTATAAAGGGACAGTCTAAGCTGAATTTTCTTGGTGGGAATTTGGCATACAGTATAAACTTCGGTTGGCATGATTCCTGAATAGGTTAACTGGCAAGGGTACAAAAGAGAGACTGGCAATGTTTTATCATGCGCAGCATGTCCTCAGTTTAATACTGGGAGTTGATATACCATAGAAAGTATCAGTAGGAAGAAATAATTAAAGGTTGGACAGACAAGAAACAATGTTTGACTACACTGCCACAAAAGGGAAATGAACACAAACAAAGGGATGGTTAACTGAGCACCAGAGGACATCTTACCACATCAACTGGGGAACCAACACAAACAGCAAAGAAGCCAGCACCAAGACCAGCAAAGAGGTGGGTGACCACATCATCTTTGAACCCAGGGAGTTTCAAAATTGTCTGCAGCAAAGACAGTTTGTATAGGCAAGTGAATGAAAGAGCCAATGGAGTTATTTGAGGAGAATTTAAAAGAAGCACACAACACCTGCTTGACTTGATCATAACTGGCCAACTCAGCAGCATTGATGATAGCATTCCGCGCTACATTTGGTCCTAGGCCAGTCCACAGAGCAGCAATCCCTTCCTAAGGATGAGCCAAGCACATGACACATATAATAAGGGCCAACCTCTAATTTTATTGATTGATAGCAAAACAGAGCAAGCGAGGGGTTAGCTGGGACAAGAGCATGCGGGCGCAGACCTGTCTAGCAATCTTGGAATAAGCATCCATTGCGCCAGTGTAGCGGCGTGGCACACCAGGCGCAAGCTTGCCCTCAGCCTGGAGCCTGACCTTGACAAGGTCAGTGGGGTTGGCGATGCTGATAGCGATGGCACCTTCGATTTTGAAGAGGATTGCTTAGTTAATGCCAGGTGTGAAATTTTGGAGTGTACATGAATCTATGAGAAGAGTAATAACGGATGAATGGAAGAAATAGTGGATGAAGATGAACACAACATCTGGTCAGATCTGGGAGCCTATCCATCATATTCCTACCATACCAGTTGTGAAGGCGGCGGCTATCTTCTTGGACAAAGGGACATCTCCAACATGGTCTTTGCCGACGTATAAGGATTTGACCTGTAAGGTAAGGCAAGTGGTTGGTTGGATTGGCATTGGAAATTAGCAATAAATAGTTGATTGAGGAGGTGAGGACAGTACAGGCTCGTAGAGGCCAATGCGGAGGCCCCCGTAAATGCACTGTCGATGGAGGCCCGGGACGATGCCCTTCCATAGCGCTGCGGCCCCTTCCTCCCTAGCGATGGTGGCGGCGGTTCCGAGCAGGCCGCGATACTTGGGGAGTGCTGGCGCGGCGTCCCCTGCGGCAGCGGCGACGACGTTCTTCTGCAGCTGGAGCCTGACCTTGGCGGTGTCGAGCGGGATGGTGCATATCTGCGAGCCAGAAGATGCAACAAATTAAAGGGGATGGGATGGTCTGGGCGTTGTGATCCTCCTTGGAATCGGGAGGGTCTCGGCGGCGGCAAGGGAAAGGAAATGGAAGGGAGCAAGTCAGATTTGGGGGCGATCGCGATCCAGCAGCGGGGGAGATGGGAAACAGGTGGGAGATGGGTACTTACCTCTGCGAAGCATGCTGCGATGGCGCTGGCGGTGAAGCGGCCGGCGAAGGAGATGTCGACCTTGGAGCCGTGGTCCCCTGGCATGGCTGCTGCGGGGCGAGGACGAGGGGGAGGGGGAGGCGAGGAAAGCGAGCAAGGCGAAGAGACGAACCGGGCGATGCCCGCAGTGGAGTGCTGTGGCTCCCGGCTCCCGCACCCCGCAGCCAGCAACACCAAGAAAGCACACAAGCCAAGGGCTGCGGCCGGCGGGCAGGCCTGGAGAAAAAAAGGGTGGCAAAAGCAGAGGCAGAGCAGAGGAGAGATCGGACTTCGGATGCGGACGCGGACGGAGATCATCAGTCGCCTGATTCTGCCTCATAAGTTAGAAATGAACAGGCTCGTCAGTTAGACTCAGCCTTACTTAAGCTATAAAATAATATTTTTTTTCGTAATAAATTAGCTCTACAAATTAACCGTAGCAGCAATAAATCCTGCCGAACAAAATCAAAGACAAACTTGGTGGAGCGCCTCGGGCTCAGCTTCGGCTTTCGGCTCGTCCAACAGAATTTTCTCTTTTTTTCTTTTTTTTTCTTTTTTCAGTTTTAATTCTTATTTAGCGCAACAAGTTAGATAGATTATGTATAAATTATCTTCGTTTGGTAAGTCAGAATTATTTTGAAAGCATATTTTTATTTATAAGATGTTTTAAGAAAATAAACCTTTTTTTCTGTGGATTAGAGTATACATTCAACTAGCCAAACACTCTCATAGAGTAATTCAATTCTAATTCATCATCGGAAGTTCTTGATTTTTTTGTGTAGTGACTCTAGTTGATTCTAACGGGGGAGCAGTGTGGCAAGCCAGTGACTTAGTTGATTCTAGTGGGGGAGCAGTGTGGTAAGCTAGTGAGAATTGATTTTAGAGTAATTCTGATGAAAGTTGAATCGGCAAGGCTAGCGTCCGGATGTCCAGCCACAGGCCTGCGTCTGGACACAGCTTCGGCGCCTGCACTCGCATCGCATCAGATCCCGCGCCAGCGAATCGCATCCAGCCTCCCGTGACCCATCCCTCGCCGGTGACGCGTCCGACCACCCGTGACTCGATCCCATCCCGGCTACGCCCCAGTGTCAAGCCCTCCGCGCTCCTTCCCTCCCCCCACACCTGTCGTGCCGCGCTCCTCCCCTTGCCGCAGCGCCATCCCCGCCGCGCCCCCGTCCTCCATCACGCTCTATCTTGGCCACGTCCCTTCCCCCGTCCTAACATCTCATCTCCTCTACAACATCCAACCGACCGTTGCAACAAGTGCAGTATACTCTTGAAACATACCTATATAGTTATTGCAACATCCAAATTACACACATGAAACATGCGTTTGAAACAGGTGAAACATGTGGAATACATTTGCAACGTACATCTGAAACATATGAAACATGTGGAACATACACTTGAAGTGTACGTGTGTAGCCATTGCAACATCAGATCCTTTTGCAACTTCAAGATGAAACACATGAAACATACAGATAAAATACGTGAAACATACGGTTGCAAAAAGTCTCATCGATGCGGAGCTCGACGCCGACGCAAGTTTGATGCCACGGAGTGAAGCGAAGGTCGCCGGTGCGAAGCCCATCAGCAGCACGGGCCTCGGCAGTGGCCGCAGTAGGCGGATGGGTGCGCGGCAGCAGTAGGCTGCAGCGCAGGGGAGTGCAGCGCGAGGCGCAGCACGTCACGGGTGAGGCACGGGCTGGGGTGCGCACGCGGCGCGAGACGCGGAGGCAGGCGGGTCGGTCGGGTCTGGAAGGACGGACGCCCTGATGGGGTATCATTATCGAAATTGAATAGGAAGAAAAACTTTTAGCTCCTAACTGTTAGAGTAAATGGAAATTTAATTTTTATCTGCTGTCCACTAGAACTGTGCATGGGTTTTGTTGTTTAGTTCTGAAGAATTAATTCCTATTAAAAATCCGATCCGCTCAAAAAAAAGACACTGCCAAATAAAATGGCCCCAGAATGTTTTCTGAAACGTAATTTGTACAAGCAATGCGTTCTTTGCTGGGCCGGGAGGTGCATAGAGGAGGATAATGTTGATGACTCAGGCGCGCATCAACTCCACTCCATGTAGTCGTCGAGTCGACATTATATATATATATATATATATATTCTCCTCAAAGTCAAAGAAGATGAGCGAGGATTCCGAGCAAGTCATCATCGATCAGCTACTGAATTTCTGAATCCGAGTGGTTAGGTAATGATGGAGTACACGGCTGTTCCCCCTCATTTCCGGCCCGGACTGATTCCTTTTGTTTTTCTCTCTGTGCTCCGTGATTCATTCATCACAATTGACAACACAAGAGCCTGAAGAATAAAGTTTACTGAAGAAGGTTAGGCAGGAACCAGAGGATGCCATGCCATGCCATGCTATTGCTGGCCAAGTAGGCAAGCCAGAATATACATTTGTATTTAGCAGTGATATAAAATTATTATTAGCTTGCGGTTGCCCTTGTCATCAGATCATCGATACACATTCAGCCACCACTCACTCAGCATCCAGCACAAGACAGTTTTCATTCTGGAACCTGGTTGATTGATGATGACAGACAAGTTTGGGTCAGTCGTCCATGGGCCTGTTTAATGGGCCGGGCCAGGCCATGCAAGGCCGCCGAATCTATGAACGGATGCCTTCCTCCTCATCGACTCCTTCCCTAATCTCGTCGTCGTCGAGGCAAGCAAAGCAAAGCACGGAAAAAGCACACAGGGACGCAGCTTTCTGTTCTGAACTCCCGAATTCCCAATCCCCCGTGGCCCCGTCGGCCGCAGGATGCCTCAGCGTGATCACCGCGAGCCCCAGGAGGACGGGGAGGATGACGACTCCCGCGGTGTCGTCAAGCTCATCAGCGCCGAGGGATTTGATTTGAATTCGTCGTCGAAAAGAAGGCCGCCATGGTAGGGTGCTACCCTTCACCTCTTCCATCCCACTCCCATAATCCCGTTCGATTCGCGCGCCGTCCTCACATCAACATCCTGGACAAGATCTGCCAGTACTTGTACTGGTCGCTCCATTACTCCAGGTTTCCTTCGTCATGTTACCTTGCACTCTTTGACCAACCACAACCTACAGCTTGTTCCAATTCACAGTTTGCTTATTATCCATCACTACTTCTAAAAAGTGGTAGGCATGGCATTATTCTGTTCTTTCACTTCTCCCTTTAATTTGCCCCCATTATTGTCCATTTATTATGTGCTCTGCATTAGTTTTGTAACCTGTAATAATTTCTTAAATACTAGAGCAAGGCAGTCTCTGTGTTTCCTGCTCCGCTACAGTTAAATCTATCTGTGAGTACGAGTACCAGCAACTTCGATCGTTCTATGGCTCTTTGTTGGAGTTCACACGTTCTCACGGATTTATATCCACAACAGAGTTTGAGATTGACACACGGCCCATCAGAACAATGAAAGACCTCACCATGATTTGTAGCATACATCACCCTTGTGCCTTTTATTTGTGCCATTATATTATTATCCTGTTTACACCAAATTTTGAAAGAAGAATTGCAGGGACTCGAAAACTCCCAAGATTATACCATCAAGGAATCGATTGCATGAAAGTCGGTATCAGCTGATTCGAATGCAGCACATCAAGGAATCGATTGCATGAAGGTCGGTATCAGCTGATTCGAATGCAGCACTGGAATCGGCTTTCTTCATATAGCGCCAGCGGATAATGACAAAAGCTACGATCAGCACCGGAAAAAACATGGTGGACTCTAAAAAAGAGAAAGATTAGGGTCCAAGTTATCTTAAATTAGAAATATTTTCTCTTAGGCAAAAAATTATGATGAGTCGTGCTTAAGTAGGATTCATGCGTAGGTTCCGGGTATAAATATTAGACCCCGGCTATTGTAAAGGACACACAATCAATCAAATACAAGTTACTTACTTTTTTCGGCTCCGGCCACCCCTTAGGAGTAGGAGTAGAGTAGATCTCGACGAGTTCTTCAGCGAGCAGGGCTGCATCGGTACGGCCGACATCCGCCTTATCTGTAAGTACCGTCATGGCTTATACTTCTGTTCGTACGGCTGCATCGATCCGGCCGACCTCCACTGCGACTCTGGTATAAGCTAGTTATCAACTCTTGTTTAGTTGAAGTACGGCTGCATCGATCCGGTCGACTTCCACTGCTCGAACTAGATTAAGGTGAAGTTATCGGCTATGTCTAAGGGTGACATCCTTCGGATAGATTCATTAAGTTACCGATGTTGCTTATTGTTTTCATTGTTTATTTAATTACAGCAATATCACTTCGCCCGATTGGGATTGATCTAGACCGCCTTATATCCTATTTAATCCATTGTTTATTAATCTAAACTGATATAATCCGTACTTTAAACGATGAGTTATGTTTTATCGGCTGTTTTATGTCAATCTTGATCATACATAGTGCGCGGTTAAGGCATGTCTGGTCTTGAATAGATCTATTGGCTAACGAGAACCGTTCCATGGTCCGTTATCACGGCATGTGTGATTCTGCCTCACACCCCACTATTAGCACCGTGGAGTGGGGATCGTTACTTGGTAGATCTGTTCCTGATACGGCATAGCCTTAATTGTGCACTATGTTTGAATCGATTGTTTTAGCCAATATCGAGTGCTTTCACATACGCAGTTCACGTCACGAGACCGTTGAAGTAAAGATAGGTTGAAAGATGTGTTAGCCCCATGATCTTATTATTGTATTACGGTTTGCATGATTCTGTCACACGCTCCACTGATATTAGTAATAAGTTAGGGTCATCGAATTTATCGCTGTTTCTACAGCCTGCATGATTCTGCCTCATGCCCACTGGTTATAACGATAGATGAGATCTAATATGTTCATTAGATTTATCTTTATTAAATAGTTAAATGATGATGAGCTGCTTCTTTTATATGAAAAGGGATTCAGTTACTTGTAGTCATTGGCTTAGCATAAACTGATTATTGTTGACATCCTATTGCCATTGATTAATATTTATCTAAATAACGAGATTCATCTTGAACGATAACCGATCCTCCTTCCATAATTCCATGAATTTTAACTGATTTATTCTTATGTGTATGCTGGAAT